CCTTCCCTGCTCTACCCCACCACTCCCCTGCTCTACCGCACCACTCCCATACTCTACCCCACCACTCCCCTGCTCTACTCCACCCCTTCCCTGCTCTACCCCACCACTTCCCCTGCTCTACCCCACCACTTCCCCTGTTCTACCCCACCACTCCCCTACTCTACCCAACCACTCCCCTGCTCTACCCCACCCTTCCCTGCTCTACACCATCACTCCCCTGCTCTACCGCACCACTCCCCTACTCTACCCCACCACTCCCCTGCTCTACTCCACCCCTTCCCTGCTCTACACCACCACTTCCCCTGCTCTACCCCACCACTCCCCTGCTCTACCCCGACCTTCCCTGCTCTACCCCACCACTCCCCTGCTCTACTCCACCCCTTCCCTGCTCTTCTCCACCCCTCCCCTGTTCTGCCCACTCGTATGGACTAAGTCAGATAAAATAGATATATTTCTGCAGGCTAAACAAGTATTATTTGGTAGGCTTAGATCACTGTAAATTCTTAAGACGTCTCCCGTTGCGATTTATTTATACCCTAATTTATGATACTGTAGCTAGATACTGCACTGACAGTAGGTATTCCAGATGCTCTACCCAAACAGCGTGACACATGCATTTCCTTCTGTATTTGCTTTTGTTTGTAAATTTGGGCTTTGGGTTCAGTGCAGTTTACACATGTCCGAACAGATGGTATGCTACATGCCCAAAATCTACTTTATAGGTTCCAAAGAATATATAGACCAGTAGGACCTGGCATGAAAATAATTAACAGGAGAGATCCAACTGCTTTTGACAGCGCCTCGTTGGCCCTGACACTTACATACCTACTAGAACATACCTACTAGAACATACCTACTAGTACATACCTACTACAACATACATACTAGTACATACATACTAGTATATACAAACTTGTTCTTACCTACTAGTACATACATACTAGAACATACATACTAGTACATACATACTAGTACATACATACAAGTAACAGGAAACTCAGTCATGGTCTCACAGCTGTACGAACTCATAGAGTTGACAGAGTTTTGCCTTTGACCAAAAATAAAGTATTGACTCCAAGTACATGTTGGACATGATGACGAGCATCATCATCGTGACCCAGTGCTGATGACAGCCGTGATATCATGCAATTTGTAGGAGTTTGGTGACCCCAAATGAGGTCCTGTTGAACCTTGGCATCTGTTCTCCTGCCAAACATGAGTTACATCCAAGGCAAAATTGAGACGCCGCTGCAAGGATTATCACCAACAGAACTAGTCCTGTGGTAAGATCTTCCAGTAAGCAGTGGAAGAGGCTGATGTGCAAGGATTATAACCAACAGAAATAGTCCTGTGGTAAGATCTTCCAGTAAGCAGTGGAAGTGGCTGATGTTCAAGGATTATCACCAACAGAAATAGTCCTGTGGTAAGATCTCCAAGTAAGCAGTGGAAGAGGCTGATGTGCAAGGATTATCACCAACAGAAATAGTCCTGTGGTAAGATCTCCAAGTAAGCAGTGGAAGTGGCTGATGTTCAAGGATTATAACCAACAGAAATAGTCCAGTGGTAAGATCTTCCAGTAAGCAGTGGAAGTGGCTGATGTTCAAGGATTATAACCAACAGAAATAGTCCTGTGGTAAGATCTTCCAGTAAGCAGTGGAAGAGGCTGATGTGCAAGGATTATCACCAACAGAAATAGTCCTGTGGTAAGATCTTCCAGTAAGCAGTGGAAGAGGCTGATGTGCAAGGATTATCACCAACAGAAATAGTCCTGTGGTAAGATCTTCCAGTAAGCAGTGGAAGAGGCTGATGTGCAAGGATTATCACCAACAGAAATAGTCCTGTGGTAAGATCTTCCAGTAAGCAGTGGAAGTGGCTGATGTTCAAGGATTATAACCAACAGAAATAGTCCAGTGGTAAGATCTTCCAGTAAGCAGTGGAAGAGGCTGATGTGCAAGGATTATAACCAACAGAAATAGTCCTGTGGTAAGATCTTCCAGTAAGCAGTGGAAGAGGCTGATGTGCAAGGATTATAACCAACATAAATAGTCCAGTGGTAAGATCTTCCAGTAAGCAGTGGAAGAGGCTGATGTGCAAGGATTATCACCAACAGAAATAGTCCTGTGGTAAGATCTTCCAGTAAGCAGTGGAAGAGGCTGATGTGCAAGGATTATCACCAACAGAAATAGTCCTGTGGTAAGCTCTCCAAGTAAGCAGTGGAAGTGGCTGATGTGCAAGGATTATCACCAACAGAAATAGTCCTGTGGTAAGCTCTCCAAGTAAGCAGTGGAAGTGGCTGATGTGCAAGGATTATAACCAACATAAATAGTCCTGTGGTAAGATCTTCCAGTAAGCAGTGGAAGAGGCTGATGTGCAAGGATTATAACCAACAGAAATAGTCCTGTGGTAAGATCTCCAAGTAAGCAGTGGAAGAGGCTGATGTGCAAGGATTATAACCAACAGAAATAGTCCTGTGGTAAGATCTTCCAGTAAGCAGTGGAAGAGGCTGATGTGCAAGGATTATCACCAACAGAAATAGTCCTGTGGTAAGATCTCCAAGTAAGCAGTGGAAGTGGCTGATGTGCAAGGATTATAACCAACAGAAATAGTCCTGTGGTAAGATCTTCCAGTAAGCAGTGGAAGAGGCTGATGTGCAAGGATTATAACCAACAGAAATAGTCCTGTGGTAAGATCTCCAAGTAAGCAGTGGAAGTGGCTGATGTGCAAGGATTAAAACCAACAGAAATAGTCCTGTGGTAAGATCTTCCAGTAAGCAGTGGAAGAGGCTGATGTGCAAGGATTATAACCAACAGAAATAGTCATGTGGTAAGATCTTACAGTAAGCAGTGGAAGTGGCTGATGTGCAAGGATTATAACCAACAGAAATAGTCCTGTGGTAAGATCTCCAAGTAAGCAGTGGAAGAGGCTGATGTGCAAGGATTATAACCAACAGAAATAGTCCTGTGGTAAGATCTTCCAGTGAGCAGTGGAAGTGGCTGATGTGCAAGGATTATCACCAACAGAAATAGTCCTGTGGTAAGCTCTCCAAGTAAGCAGTGGAAGAGGCTGATGTGCAAGGATTATAACCAACAGAAATAGTCCAGTGGTAAGATCTTCCAGTTAGCAGTGGAAGAGGCTGATGTGCAAGGATTATAACCAACAGAAATAGTCCAGTGGTAAGATCTTCCAGTAAGCAGTGGAAGAGGCTGATGTGCAAGGATTATAACCAACAGAAATAGTCCTGTGGTAAGATCTTACAGTAAGCAGTGGAAGTGGCTGATCATTCTGACTCAGGGCGACCGTTATGTAAGCATGCCAATATGCAAGATGGGATCCCAGCCTTGCACATAATCAACACAGCCCTGGCTTCCACCTTCAAGGGTCCACTGTCAACTGTTCAGTGATGTCATCAAGATTGTTTTGGGAGAACTGTCAGCACATTCGCAAACTTTTATCCAAGGGATATATTGGTGGAGGATGTACCAGTTCAAACCACTATTGGCACAGTAGTTGACTGCTCCGCATCATGTATCGCAAGTGTTTTCTTTATCTGAGTAAGTTTCGTTAGAATAATGCATAGGGCAACCGACTCGTGTAGTACATAGTGTTATTTATACTAGTTGTAACATAAGGTAACTTTGCATAAAACTGAAATCCCCGTTTGGTGCTTGAACGTGCAGAGCAGTACCCCTACCGTACGGCCTGTAAACAATGGAGTCTTGACCAGGTAATCGAACAATCTTCAATCAGACATGACAATTGCACATGTGTACATTTTATTTACAAGAAGACATAACTTTATAAAGGAATCTAGACACACATTAATTAGTTGGTGCATATCTGAGTAATGTATAACACAATACGTAGAGTGAGTAGATATCAAAATACTCAGGGTGAGTGTAAAAATACTGTCCATTTCTTTGGTAATTCAAAATGTAATATATAGAGGAATTTACAAGACGATATATAGAGTCATATTTGGGGCAAACATGGGAGAACGCATAGAACAATACATTAAAATAAAAATTATATACAGCTTTTAAAGCATAGCATAATACACAGCATAACATAAACAGTGAGGATTAGATTATGTATAAGGTGTAATTGGCCATACTATTATACCGGATATATCACTAGGGAGATCCTTAGTGTACTATTAAGAAAGTCGAGAAATCGAAAAGCATATGCAAGGCTTCTTTTAGGGGAGACCTAAACGCCCAAATTTGAAGAAAATAGGGAATTACATCAGACATCATTAATGTCAGAGATGCGTCAAATTTGAACAAACGAAAACATAAATATTCACTGAGGCATTCAATGTTGTAACCTATAATTTAGCTTGTAACCTCTGTATGCATAGATCAAATATGAAACAGGTGTGAATGTTTCATTGGTGTCAGGTGGGTAAAACAGGGGAAGAGCTCTTGGTTATTAAACGATATCAGTTCATAGATTACATACTTAAGCTTAAGTGAAACTTCTTGGCAAAATAGCCCTGTTTTGACTTTGCCAATCCGAGCATAAATTCCGATGCATATGCATACAGAAATAGATCCGCAGGAAGGGGAGCACAATTAGTGCCCATGGGGATGCTTACGTTTGCCTCATTGTCTCATCTTCCAACATTTGACATGGATGTTATCAATGAGGAAGTCCAGCATTCCACATATCGTTTTCTCAGGGAGCTTCCGATTTACTCTCAGGTTTTACAAATTGGCTCGAACCTCTGAATGTAGATATGTTACTATGCCTAAGCTCTCAACGTTTTATAACAGAATCCCAATGGATCAAGGAATGAAGTTTTACCTTATGTTAGGTGACATGTGGGACAGTGGTGTACAAAGTTGAAAAATCAAACGTTTTCACAAAATTGAACCTGGTTCGTTTCTCAGCGAGCACAATGTCAAACACATCTTTTGAATATTTGAGAATCCAAATGGTATTAATTCCACTGGGCACAAATATGTTCATCGATTATAAAAGAAAGCACGTCCTGTATTGTATTAAGGTTTATGAGTAATCTTTGAGTCAAGGATTTGGTGGTACCTTTGCTGGACCAAGCAATATATCTCTCTTTGAACGGATTTGATGAACCTTTGGAATCTAGTACAAAAAAGGAATGAACATATCTTGAGGTTTTAGAGTCATGCTGATAATGCTGATAATGCTGATGTATTGTTGTTGCAGATGTCTTCCTCAGTCATGACACTGGCCTTATATGTCAGTAATACTAATATAATTGAAACAACTACACACATGTCATGTAGGGCAGCTTCATTGATGGCAGCTGGCTGGAACAGAATGGGTTCGTTAAATTTGTGTTTTCTCTTTTTCAGTTTGTGCATTCGTCCATTGACAACATCACATACTGAAATAATCCACCCTGAAACACATTCAACAGGTTCTGCTTCTCTTTCAAGATGCAGCATCCTGTTCTGCTTCTCTTTCAAGACGCACCATCCTCAGTGAACAGCACAAGCGATTTCCAGGCATTAAGCATCCATATTTCGGATTGATGGAAGTTAGGTTACCACATCAACACAATTCATTTATCGCAGTCTGTGACAACGTTGGGTGGCCCAAACGCATTAGGTCTAACTTCGAAATTAGTTCCTTGAAACAAAATATCATGTTTCTACAGCCACACAGTCTCTAGGTGTTCTCTTTTTATAAAACTTGGCAACATTGACCACTGTGCTGTATATCTAACTGAAAGGGTTAACTCCAACAGCAATCAATTGCCTCAACTTTAAAGGAAGGTATTCCTTCTTTTGCCACTGCCAAGAGATGAACAGCTGCAATCAGGAGGGAATGAAAAGCCTCGAAAAAATGATACATAAACTAGAAGACCTTCAAAAGCCACAATAAGGAAAACAACACATGGCAAGTATTTGAGCATGATGGGTTCAAAGACTTCTGAATCAAAGACGCTCGAGGTTCATCATCTCTCTTGAAAATGTATATCATTTTGAAGTAGAACCAGCTGATTTTGAAAGATCAGTAAACCTTGATAACAGGTCGTGTGTTCAACACTTACAGCGACGGAGCACTTAGTGGATGCATTATCAGCTCATGATGCCAAAGTTGTCTTCAAAGTGAGCTGAATATCAGATTTGAATTACAGACAAAGTACATTCCAGACTTAAAGTAACATAATAGTTATTTATGAACAGGTGATATATAGCTCACGGCTGTCTTGGGATCATCAACAAAAACATCACGCAAGAGTCGGGTGTAGGACTGAGCATCACTTGCAGAACTGTGGGACGAATCAGAATCTGCCTTGTCCCGTGATATATGCGTGTGGGAACGGGCATCTCCGGCAGAACTCTGGGATGATTCGCCATCTGAAACATCATGTGATATATGAGTGGAGGACTGGGTATCTCCGGCAGAACACTGGGCTACACTACTGCCTGCAACATTCTGTGGCCACTGAGTTGAGGACTGTGTGTCTCCGGCAGAACTCTGGGTTGCACCACTGCCTGCAACATCATGTGATATATGAATGTAGGACTGTGTGTCTCCAGCAGAACTCTGGGTTGCACCACTGCCTGCAACATCATGTGATACATGAATGTAGGACTGTGTGTCTCCAGGAGAACTCTGGGATGATTTGCCGTCTGAAACATCCTGTGATATATGAATGTAGGACTGGGTTTCTCCAGCAGAACTCTCGGATGCATCATTGTATGTTCCACCACCTGATGTAGAAAAACATTCTGCCAACACTGGCAAGGAGAGTCTGTGCCCGCGTTCCTCTTGCTTCACAGCTGGGGGCACACAGGATATGCCTATATCTTCATCTCTGATCTGCCAATATCTGTTTATGGCCTGATATTCTACAGAATATATATCATCCTGAACGCCTTCATCGTTGTGTTGAACAATTGATGATTGTTGAGCTCTGCAATAATAAAGAGGAATATTAGATGGCAACAGAAGCTGCGAAGTGCCTTCACAAAATTGAGTGAACTTGCGTATTGATTCAAGTGTGAAGAGTACATTTAAATAATTGTCAGGTTTTGTCTGAATTAGTGTAAAGATAATTGCGAATCATTAGCCAGCTATTGCAAGAGATAGGGAACAATCTGCCTGTCATGTAGGTACCTTTTAGTTCTCCAACGTTTGATGGAATACAGGCATGCTAGCATCACAATCACTATGACTACAGCTGTAGGCCCAGTCCACAGTTGGATTGCCGTGTTCATCACATTCTCATCTGGAAAGCCAATATTTGATAATAATGGTATAAATCTGCTCTGTGCAATGTGTTTTAGAATATAGTATTACAACTTTAAGTATCACGACTATGACAGATACACACCTATTGCATCACTGATTTGTTACACTGTCACATTAAAAAAGAATATTGTGAGAACAAACCTATTTTTTTTAAACGTATAGGCAGCGAATGGCAGTTTTACGGAAATATGTAGCACCCCTTAATGCTAAAGAGGAACCATCTTTTTTACGCCTTTTGGTCCGACGCGTCGAGGATCGAACTCCAGACCTTCCACTCTCTGGGCGGACACTCTACCACTAGACCATGTAGGGGGTTCATTTACAAAAGGAAATATAAACGACCTTGGTCTGTGTTGCATAACCGCAAAACATGATGCATTGCCATTGGCCTACATACTTCATGATTCAGCATTTATATTTCAATTATGATGCACATCGATGTGCTTTCCCTTGATATTAACTTACCCTGACATGATCGGCAATCATCCACAGTGCAGTTGTTCCTGCAGATAGGTGTGCATTTGTGTCCGGTTGTGTTGCAGCCTTTGAAACACATTCCTGTCATCTGGTCACACTCTCCATCAAGGCAGAATTCACAGGTGTTGTTACACGATTGTCCATTAAATCCATTAGTACATCCATGAACACAAGTTCCATGGCTTGTATGACATGTGTGGTTGATACAGTTGTCAGGGCATGGTATACAGTTTCTTCCAAAATGATGAGATGCACACCCATCTACACAGTCGCCTGTATCGTTGCATCTCTCATTCCTACAGTTACCGTTACACTGTAAGGAGCAGTGTGGACCAAACCAACCATGTAAACATCCATCTACACATTCACCTGTACCGTTGCATCTCCCATTCCTACAGTTAACATTACACCGTGAGGAGCACTGTGGACCAAACCAACCATCTACACATCCATGACGACAATCACCACTGTACTGATTGCATTCCACTGTGTCATTAATTACAGGTCGTGTGTCTCCAGTTTTATTGCCTATCATCATTGGGCTGAATCCACAGTTTGTCTTGCATTCCTTCTCACATGCAGCACCATAAAAGCCAGGTATACAGCCACGCATACATCCGAATAAACACGTGTTCCTACAGTGTTCACACAAATACTAGCAGTTTGGTCCAAAATATTGTGGAAAACACTCCTCACACATCCCTGTATAGCCATTGCATGTCTTACATCTACTGGCACATTGTTTACAGTCCGACCCATAGTAGGAACCATTACATCCTGATACACAGGATGAATTAAGCTGGCAGTATCCTCCATCACAACCACCTGGACATGCTTTACAATTACCTCCTGGACTGTCACATGGTATTTTGCACCTTACGCCTTGAAATCCTGGAACACAACCCTCTGTGCACACTTCTGTGCCCCCGTTCACGGATTTACATTTCTTATTTTTACAGTTGCTGCTGCAAAGAGACCTACATTTAAGGTCGTAATAACCACTGTCACACTTGGTGAGGCAATTGCCAGTCCTACTGTCACAGTCTTGGCAGTCTTGCAACTTGCAGCTGGAAACAATACAACATGTAAATCGTGAAATACAGACAGGTATTATTATCTCACATTCCAAACAATTTAAATATTTATAACGCATGTGTAGAAGACTTGTGATAGGATGTTTTATGCTTCTAAGAGTGGGATTAACATCGAAGCTGGGAGAAGTCTTAAGGAGTTGTTCAGAAATATTAAGGTCTTATCTGAATGTTTACCTGCAAATGTGACCAGGTAAGCAATGGACACAACCATCAGTGCAGGCATGATGCAGCTGTAATTAAGAAGATGACATATACTATATGAAGTCATTGAAAGGCATTTATAATTGATACACATAATGTAAGAGAATGTATGGATGTCATCGTCTTTATAATGAGGAACACAGCGTTTTGGAGTATTATATTTTCTCCTTCAGTCCTTTACTAAATGTTAGGAGGCAACAAGATAACAAAGGAGGAAACTTTGTAAAGGATGCCAACAGATAATCGGCCCTGATAGGTTATAGGCAATGGACAAATCAAAGCTAACACTTAGCTTATAACTGATTGGTTATTGGCAACAGACAAATGGAAGCTAACATTTAGCTTATAACTGATTGGTTATAGGCAATGGACAAATGGAAGCTTACACTTAGCTTATAACTGATTGGTTATAGGCAATGGACAAATGAAAGCTTACACTTTGCTTACAACTGATTGGTTATTGGCAACATACAAATGGAAGCTAACACTAAGCTTATAACTGATTGGTTATAGGCAATGGACAAATCAAAGCTAACACTTAGCTTATAACTGATTGGTTATAGTGAGTGAGTGAGTGAGTTGGGTTTAACGCCGCTTTTAACAGTATTCCAGTTATATCGTGCCAGATTAATGTTGGAGGTAAGCCCGAAGTGATGCAGGTCTGAGAGGTTTACCATTTAGGTGAAACCCATGAGCACGGGTATGGTGCTGACAAACCTAGAAAGATAATCGGGGCGAACCGGGATTCGAACCCACAATTATAGATTTCTGGCGTGCCCAATGGACGCGACTCTGCACAGCGAATCGCGGCGCCTTAGATGACTGGGCCACCCGTGCCCCCGATTGGTTGTAGGCAATGGACAGTGGACAACGGGAGGCCGGGACTAATTAGCACGGATAGGTCATAGAAAGGAAATGACAATTGACAAATGGAAGCAAGCAAGATGATAAGCACCGACAATGATGCAAAACATACCAGGCACTGGGAAGAGATGTTCACATGTCACAAAACACATGTGATGGACTAAGAAGTGATGGCAAGAAGTCATATACAACATGCCAAGATAAACAATAGACACTGACGTATTTGATGTGAACAAAAAAACTGTCAAACATATACATATTATGATAGAGATTAAAGAGGTGGTAATGCAACTCACTTGTGTGATCAGCGTAGCGTTAATCGGCGTTATGTTCATCTGCTGGCTGTATAAACCTAATGAGGTTGACTCACGGTGACCTAATTTACAGAATCTAGCTTTTCCTCTTTACACGGAAGATATTATTACTAATTGCATACTATGTTAGATATTAGTTTCAACATGCGATATAGCATAATGTATTCAGAAACAATAATTCAGATGTCCGAGTATTTTGGCCCATGAAAACTTTTGAGCTCACATATACACACAAAAACAGACACACGAAGACATAAATGTGTTCTCATTTCCTTCACATATACTATATAAGGAAATTAAAATAAACACATAACCATCACCTTTACGGCTGCTCGTTCGGTAAAATATTATCACAGTCTGTAAGCAGTGAGTTTTGAAGAGTTCAATATATTGAATTTCAAGACCACATGGAATAATCAAAGTTTTACTTTTGTCAGTTTTTACTTTTGTACAGTGTTACTGTGCCTTTTTATTAGTATCAACTATCATTTACAGCTTAGTGCTGTATAGACTTTGTTACATTTCAACACCTTATTGTATGGTTGCCTTTGTGAAAATAAATAATAGTATTTTGTGTCTCAGCTCAGAATGTGAACAATGCTACATTGTATTTGACACTTAAACTAAGCAAACACACAACTCTGCTGCACACTTCTCAAATTAAACATCAGTCGCTTGCAGGTACTTGCACATCACCAGCAAACACAAATGTCTATGTCGACACATTCAACTAACCTGAGGCAACTTGTTCCATGCATGTATCAACTTCCCTGTATTCTGGATATTACACTTCGACCCCGAGTTAATATTATGTTGATATATGCTGCTCGAAGTGAGACAAATGTGAAAAATATATTGAAAGTGTGACATTTTGGACATACGCATTCCATTGTAATGTGTAAGCGTTAATGTGGCTCTTAACATATCAAAAACATACGT